CCTTAAAAATTGCCAGCTATGCTGGAGAAACCATGAAGCATTCCACTATTTTCTCCTTTTGATTTTTAAAACAATAAATTGTCAAACAAAAGTGCCACTGATTATATTTGACCAACTCAGAACTGGTTCTGATTTGGACCAGAACAATGGTATATGAAAAACAATAAATTAACAATGTTTACTATTAAATGCTTCACCTTGTTTATTTCTCTGTGATGTCATGTCAAACCCCTAGAATTCTCTCTTTCCAGTGTTCAGTTTGTTCTGTATTTCTTATTTTAGCAGATCAATATGACTTTCAAGACTTCAGTCCAGTTCACATTGAGTGCTGTCATACTGAAGGATTGTTTTTATTTCAGACTGCAGGTGATTACATTTCTGGATGCCACACTACACAAAATAAATCTTACAAGTAAGAAATAATCACATAGGGAAATTCTTTTCTATTAAGTTTCCTACTTGAAAGGAAAGCTTGGGTTTTGCATTTGGTTTTAAAATCTATTCAGAAAGATGAACCCTCACCCGTAGTTTGAAGTGACATAGTTCATTCCACTGCCTCATTCCCACCAATCCTAAAATTACCCAGGAAGACTATTATATAAGTATCCTGGGCAATATTTTCCATTGTCAACCTTCTCAGCACATCATGACTGCTGCAACAAAATCAATTTTACATCAGTATATTCCAGAATAATATGAAGTGTAGACACAAAATATGCACAGTTTGAACACCTATGCATATATATTTACTTTACTGTTGGATTTGTATCTATCTTTCCTTCAAAATCTCACAATAGTGTATAATGTATCCATTTTTTCCCCAAATCAGTTTTCATGGGGATTAGGCTTGCTGTAAAACAAAGATTTGCTCAAAATCACTACAAGCTTCCATGATCATAGTTCAGTACTTTAAATATTGTACCATTACTGCTCTATTATTTACTGTACAACTATCAACAATAAGAAATTACTACAATGCCTATAAAATTGCCCAAGAGTAAGGAAATTTTCTTTTAACTCCAGTAATAGGTAACTGAGTTAGGAAAAATCCATGAGTATTCTCAGTCGATATTCCATCCTAACAATTTACTTCTAAACGATCTCTAGCAGAAGTTAATTCCCCCATGTTTACTTCAGAAACAATACAGAAAAGCAATTTGGTAAATATCAGAAGGTCAATTAATTCAACTTCATATAAAAAAAAACCCCTTCTACCTCTAGATGTTAACAACCTTAGACAAGATCAATCAATCAATCAATCGATTAGATAGGATCACATATGGAGGTTCTCTGAAATCTATAACTGAAAAAGGCTGGTGCTAGAGAGTACACTTGTCAATGGAAGACTTTATCTCAATTATCTATGTACAATGACTAGATTTACCATTATGCATTTCATGTAACTTTGCCTTTGAAAGATGATTTGGAGTCACCCAGTTAGCACCAACTAGATATGACACCAATACTACATTTCTAACTCCAATGTAAAGGTTTGAAGTTGTAAAACCTCAAATAATTTTGAACTATAAATATTGTACTGCTCATATCTTCCTTTCTCCACTGGTTGAACTGGGAATTTAAGGAAAGAGAACCTTTTCTACAGTTTCTCCCAATAGAGGAAAGCTCTGAAGATCCATTTATTTTTGATGGCCTTCTTCATTGTGGTTTCTAATAATCAATTATGTCATTATATTTTAAATACTGAATTCTCTTGGTTAAATATTTTTATTGTTGGGTTGCATTGATGATGACTGTTATCAATTAAGTCAGTTTTAAAAAGGCTTTTGCTCTTAATGGCAACCAATAAATAAATAAGCAAACAAACAAACATTTACCAATGGATGAATCCACCATAGTTGGAGAACATTGTCACAGAAAGTATTTGAACTTTGATCCAAACTCATATGCAAAAGTTTAGAATAACTTCTTCCTTGTCCTCTACCTCTGCAATACATGGATGGCCACATGCATTTTCTGTTTAAAAGCAGGCAGCTACAGAAGAATTTCTCATGGGTCTCCCCAACAATGGTGCTTTAGAAAATATTTTAGTCCTAAATACCGTATATGCCGGCGTATTAGGCGACCCGGTGTATAAGATGACCCCCATCTTTATAGCCGGGCCGCATTCCTAGAACATCGTCTTATACGCCGGAAACTACCAGTATTTCCGGCGTATAAGACGACTCGGCATATAAGACGACCCCCGTCTTGGGCGCCGATTTCAGCGCTCGCGGAAGTCGTCTTATACGCCGGCATTTACGGTACTTTGGGAGATTTAGGGCTCATAACAGTATAAACGTAAGTAGATCAAACAAGGGTTAATTACTTCACAGAATAAGATTCCATCCAAGTCCAGTCTGTGCTGTGCTTTAGACATTCCAAGTTTTGCAATACAAAATTGATTTGTATCTTTTTCATTACATCAAATTTATTTCAAATAGTTTTCAGCTTGTTGCAGGACAACTGAGAGGAAATATGGAAAGTCATTTTCTTCAATCAAATGAATTCAATCTGAGTGATATGAATGCATTAAAAGGTAGGATAATAATAATAATAATAAGCGGCATGACAAAGTAGCAACAATGGTGCTTTGGAAGATCTGCAAAAAATATCATTTGCCTGTAAGCAAAAACTGGTGGGATCATAAAATAGAGAAAGTTGTAGAAAATGATAAAATTAAACTGCTCTGGGACTTCAGAATTCAAACAGACAAGCACCTACAACATAACACCCCAGACTTCACAATTGTTGATAAGAAAGACAAAAAAGTCTGGATAGTGGATGTGGCAGTGCCTGGAGACAGCAGAATAGACGAGAAAGAACTGGAGAAGATAACAAAATACAAAGACCTACAAACAGAAATAGAAAGACTGTGGCAAAAGCAAGCAAGGGTAGTACCAATAGTCATAGGCTCCTTGGGTGCAATCCCAAAACAACTGGAGCACCACTTGAACACCATTGGCATTGACAAATTCGCTATTAGTCAATTGCAAAAGGCGGCCTTACTAGGAACTGCTTCCATCCTGCGACGATATCTGTAATACCATCAAACATCCACATCTGCCTATCCCAGGTCCTGGGTAAGGACTCAATTGGTAGACAATATGCCAAATCCAGTCTGAACATCTGGCTGACTGTGCAATGATCCATAATAATAATAATAATAATAATAATAATGATGGTGATGATGATGTTGGAGGGGACCTTGGAGGTAATCTAGTCCAACCTCTTGCTCAGGCAGGAAACCTTATACCATTTCAGACAAATGGCTGTCCAGTCTCTTCTTAAAAATTTCCAGTGTTGGAGGCAGATTGTTCCACTGATTAATTGTTCTAACTGTCATAAAATTTCTCCTTAGTTCTAGGTTGCTTCTCTCTTTCATTAGTTTTCATCTGTTGCTTCTTATCCTGCCTTTAGGTGCTTTGGCGAATAGGTTGACTCCCTCTTCTTTGTGGCATCTCCTGAGATATTGGAACACTGCTATCATGTCACCCCTCATCCATCTCTTTATTAAACTAGACATACCCAATTCCAGCAACCATTTCTTATACTGTACGTTTTAGTCTCCAATCCCCTGATCATCTTTGTTGCTCTTGTCTGTACTCTATAGTCTCAACATCTTTTTTACATCGTGGTGACCAAAATGCAGTATTCTAAGTGTGGCCTTACCAAGGCATTGTAAAATGGTATTAACACTTCATGTGATCTTGATTCTATCCCTCTGTTAATGCAGCCTAGCACTGTGTTGGCTTTTTAGGTAGCTGCAATACACTGCTGGCTCATATCTAAGTGATTGTCCACTAGGACTCCGAGATCCCTCTCACAGTTGCTACAATTGAGCAAGGTGCCACCTATACTATACCTATGCATTTGGTTTTTCTTGCCTAAATGTAGAACCTTACTTTTTTTCCCATCACTGAATTTCATTTTAAATAAATAATCTATGCAGATTAACTAAGATCATGTTTGTATAAGTATTTTTATAGTTGACAGAATACAACTTATGGGGAAAAAACACGAGGAACCAAAGTAAGATTCTAAATAGGACCCAGATGCTTTTTCATTTTGAATTGAAATGCATCTTTTAAAAAAAAAAATCCAACAAATAGAATATTCTTTTTTGCTTATTTCCCAATTTTTGCTAATTATGCCTTATGTGAAAAACACTGGAATCAATGTGGGATCAAATCTATATATTTTGCAAATCTCAATCAAAGGAATGAATTAACCAGAAGATATTCAAACTATTTCCACATTTAACTTGGATTAGCAAAGTAATTACCACTTCTATTTAATTTTAAAATTCAAGGCTAACCTCAAATTCTGTTGAGCATGGCATCCTAATTTTCAACATTTCAAATTAGGATGCCATAAGGCCAGTCCATGGAATATATAATATAACTATATGTAATAATAATGAAAAGCATACACAAATGAAGATATTTTTATTGAAGTCTTTCAGTAATAAGCAAAACAATGAAAACAAATGGAAAGGTAGAACTTTGGAAGACATAATTCTACTAATGGATTTCTTAAAAAAAATATGCAGGGCCTCAACTTTGCTAAGAAAGTCAGTACCTAATTTTCTAGTGAGACAAGAAGCTTCTGCAGTTCTTCAATGTTGAAAAGCCATGACTCTTCTTATGACTAGGAATACTCTTTGTTGCCTACATTCATGGCTAAGTTCTTGGTTCAAGCTTGATTCAAATTAAATCATTACCACAATCTTTTAATTACTTTCAACAAGAAAATGTGAAAACATATAACTAAGAATATAAACATACCGAAGAGCTGTATATATTATTTCAAGGAGCAAGCAATATTTGCACATTTGATCTACCATCTGTCTCATATGCGCCTGTTTTTATGAAATGCCATGTCCCTTTGCTGCAAACTCAGCTAAAAATCCCGGCCACTCAGATCAGAAACTAACCACATATTTGATTGTTTTAACCTTAGTTAGTTTAAAGACAGATTTCATAGATCTGCATAAGGCTTACCTGCCACAGGTATGGCATGGATCTGTGCCCGTGACAGGAGTTCCAATGATGGCTCACGTCCAGAAACTCCATCTGAAGAGAAACATGATTCAGTTTCATAAATTGTCTGCAACATCTCTGGCAGTCCCCACACTGAGGATACAAGAAGCATGCCAAAGAACGATTATGCGCTGTCGTTATTCCACTTCAGTTTGCCTCGATGACAATCCTTTGCCCAACTAAAGCCTTCAAGGGGGGTCTCTTGTTATGCTAGACTGTCAGCTCAAACCATCCAACATCTCCTAAAACTGTTGCAAGCATGCAGGCATCCATCCTTCTTGGAGAAGACTATCTTTAAAAAAGTTAAATTGTTTCACAGCAATGGTGTGGTGCAGTGGCGAGGAAATCCCCAAGAATAAATCAAAGCTGTCAGGAGAGAAAACAAAAATACTTGCAGATGAAAATCTCCTTGTAAGAAGATAGCAGCAGAGGTAAAAACTTTTTCATCCACACCAGATTGAAAGGGAGAGGACTTGCAAGACACAGGAACAGGCAGAGGGAAAAGATAATGGAAAGGAAGGAAATGACTTATAACTTAGCCATTATTTGTTTTATTCTGAAAAGGACAGATTTAGCAACATCTTCTTAAATCTCAGGAGAAGTTTCTAAAAAACAGAACATCCCTAAAGTGATAGATTTATTTTGAAGAGGTTCCTGAAAAACAGAGCAACAATTCCTTAGAAGGGGCCCATTTTTGTAAGATGCAAAAGTTCGCTCCAGTCACACAATTGTTTCCCAACCCAGTCACCAAATGAGATGGCTTCTGCTGGGGGTGACCTGAAATAGAATGTCAGGGAGGAACCAGCTATAAATAAACTCAGCTGAGCTTTCACCAAGCAGGGAGGGTTCAGGCAAAAGGAGCTGCCTGCCTATCAGAAGCTGGATTTCAACCGGGATCAGAGGAAAAAGATTTCCTGAGGGAAAGTCTATCCGCCTGCCAACTAAGAAAAGGAAGGCGACACAAGAACAAAAGGGAGGGGAATGACCCTTTCTGTGTTCTGGATGCCAAAGTCCACCTACAGACATTGCCTGGCTGGTTAAAACACTTTTTCGAGCAGAGATCATTGAAAAAACTGCAGTAAAATGCCAAAGGCTATAATCTTGACTCCATATTTGCAGAAAAGCAAAGCTGAATACAATCTGTTAAAAAGAAAAAGAAGACAAAAAAAACCACAACAACCAACCATAACTACAATTATGTCCTTAAAAGCAAAAAGTCTGGGTCTTGGATAAATTATATATTCTATGTGTATTAACATGTATTCTTTATTATCACCGCTCCTAAAGAGTTATCTAGAGCACAGGTGTCAAACTTGCTACGTTACGTGACATGTTGTGACGTATCGTGACTTTTTTTGCATTGCCGGAGCTGGGGTGGGCGCGGCCTCCGTATGATGCAACTGGCAGTTTGACACCCACTGATCTAGAAGAATCAGATGAGTTTTATATTTAGCTGATGTGAACAGCAACATTCATCAAACATTGCTAATTCTGACAAAAGAACAAAAATGACTTTATTGGCTGAAGAACAGGTAAACGTGGAGATAGGAAACTAAATTCAGTGAAATTGCTGGAATGGTGTGATCTGATTTTATATTTCTGTTCTTATATTTGCAGTCAATTTGGGTATTCTACAAGTATGTGGACCAACCTCCAGGATTCTTAGTAATGGCCAAACTGTCTAGGGAATTACTGGGAGCTGAGATTCATCTTGAAGGCACCCAGATTGAAGACAGCTGTAAGAAGACATCAGAAAGAAGTTGTTCCCCATCACCAAACTAAACACAACCACACTTTTTATATCTCTAGCATCCCTTCCATAAAAGCAGAGATACACAGCACGTGGCTCTCTATTAACAACTCTCATGATACCTTGCCATTGACCATATTAGCTGGGGGACATCATGACTTGAAATCCAGCATCATCTGGAAGATCAGTTACTTCATTTCTGCTAAATCCTATAACACAGTTCCACAAAAGATGAACTATACTTTTTAAAGAACATGAGAATGCAACTATGCAGTACAAAATGGTTTAAAGTTAATTAAACTTCCTCTGTTCCTCTTCTCAATACAATATTTCAAGATAGTTCGTGGAAATAAATGAAGGTTTTACTGAATATACTTAGAATAAAGGAATGGCAATGAACAAACTTTTACAGCAAAATACTAACATAATAATATTTCCATACAACCAGGTAAATCTGCACACTTATCAGACTAAGTAAGGGACTGCATCTGGCTTATGGGCTCTAATAAACAGCCAGTTTGGTCTACCAATTAAGGCATCAGGGTAGAAAATAGGAGAATGTGAGTTCCAGTCCCACATTAATTATGAAAGCCAGCTGGGTGATCTGGGGTCAGTCACTTCTCTCAGGTCAACCCACCTCACAGTGTTGTTGTTATGGGAAAAATAGGAGAAGGGAAGAAGTGTAATAGTAATAGTAGTAAAGTTGGAAGGGACCTTGGAGGTCATCTAGTCCAACCCCCTGCTCAGGCAGGAAACCCTACACCATTTCGGACAAATGGCTGTCCAGTCTCATCTTAAAAACTTCCAGTGTTGGAGCATTTACTGCTTCTGGAGGCAGGCTGTTCAGGAGGCAGTATCAGATATGTTTGCTGCCTTGAGTTATTTATAAAAATAATAAAGGGAGGAAAAAACTAGAATGATTCAGTAGCAACAATTCTGAACTAGATGGAGAGTTAATCTAATTTTGCTGGTAAAGCAGCATTATCTACATATTTTCCTATGACGCTGAAATCATAGATTATAAAAAGAAATGAAGTTCTTTCCCCTTAAGAGCAGATCACATGGCAATAGATCTGAGGCCTGCAGTTTAAACCAACAGGTTCAAGTTGTTGATCTTTTCTGAAGTCTCTTTTAAAAATAGCTCTTCCTCAAGCTTCACCTACTCTTTGGACCTGCCTATCCTACAGCATAGAATAGGAACTGACATTGGAGATTTGAGAGGTGGAACCATAGATTGCAACCAGAGCCAAGTCAATTTGTTGCCCCACTAAAGCCAATATCTGCTTCTCTTCAATAGTTTTTTGGGTAAAGTTGGTATTCTAAACTTGGTAGAATACTTTCTCATTGAATTTAAATCTACAAAGCCTACATGACATAGAGCCAGTCTATTCGCAGAACCACCTTTCTTCCATTGTCCCAGCTTGTCCCACCACATTTAGCAAAAAGGATTTCCTACACAGCGCTTTTATCAAACAATGTCACCTTACTATATCTCAGACTTGGGCCTTCTTAGTGGCAGTGCTTGTTCATGACATCCCCCATCCTGAGATTCGAATGACCCCCAACCCTGTTAGTCTTTTGCAAGGCACTGAGACCTGGTTGTTTTCTCAGATATTTGGATCAAAATAAGGAAAATTACCTTGATAGAAATATGCAAGAATTGTTTCCTAGGTAAAGACCCCAGAAACATTTGTAAGCCACTTGCAACAAAAACTACTCAGGCAGATGCCACCCCTGATGCACTGAAATATAAGACTAGGGAGGAGCTACAGCACAATCAGATTTGTAAGATGCTGTTATTATAGCTAATTTCAATAAAAGTAGTTCCAGGTCTTTCTATGGAATTGATTTTCTGGTTTGGTTTACTTAGAGCGGATGACAGGAAGGTAGATTAGTAGGTGTTTTTTGGGAGTGGAGCTAATATTTTATCCTTTGGTGCCAGGGGCTATATGTTTTGGTTTTGTCTTTTAATCTTTGTACGCTGCCCAGAGTCGCTTATGCGCAGCTAAACAGACAAACAAACCTTCCTGTCACCCATTACGAATACAATTAAATATACTGAGCTACCTGTATTTATTGTAATCAGAGATTCTTCTTCTCCCTCTTGGGTTCCCTCACTGCAAATCATCAGACTACAGAAATCTGCAGGAATCTCTCTCTGCTTATGTACAAGATTTAATAGCAGAATTGCTTAATGTGCTTATTGTATGCAGTAGTGGATTGCTGGATCATTTTCAGATGGAGAGTGGCTTTGCAAAATAGGTCACTACAATTCCATTTTCCAGATGGAGAATTAAAATAGGGAAGACAGTATAATTCAAGACAGAGAAACTTTTAACTTCTCTCGGTCCCATTATAATACCAATCTGACCCAGAAAGCTAGAAACATATGGCAATTCAGTTATTTTGCATGCTTAAAGATCTAAGTTTAATTCCCTACAGCACAAGGATAGGCCTAGAATTAATCCTCTATAAAATACTGGAGAAGTACTATTAATAGGCAACATTAAGTAAATGGGCAAAAAGATGCATATACCTTAGGTTTCCCAACCCAATATAACCAACATTGTGTTAAGTACAGGAAGTCCTCAACTTATAACCATTTGTTTGGTGACTGTTCAAAGTTACAATGACACTGAAACTTATGACCATTTTTCACATAACTGTTGTAACATCTGCATGGTCAGTTGATCAAAATTTGGACCCTTGGCAACTGGTGTGTACTTATGACGGCAGGAATGTCCCACAGAAGCCTGATTAACAACTGTGCTACTAACTTAACACTGCAGTAATTCACTTAATAACTGTGGCAAGAAAGGTAAAAGGGCCAAAACTCAGTTAACAACTGTCTTGCTAAGCAACTTTGAGGCTCAATTGTGGTCATAAATCAAAAACTACCTGTATTATCAATAGTCTGACTTGATATAGGTGGTTCTCAATTTATGACTACAATTTTTGTTGCTAAGCAACATGGCCAATTTTATGACATTTTTTATCTGATTGTTAAGTAAATTGTTAAGTGAATCCAGCTTCCTCAAGTGACTCCCCCCCACTAACTTGTTAGAAGACAGCTGTGAAGATTACAAATGGTGAGTACATGAGCCTGGGATGCTGCAACCATCATAAATATATCTATGCCAAGCACTTGAATTTTGATCACATGACTTTGGGGATGCTGTGATGGTCATAGTATGAAAACTAAATTGCAAGTCACTTTTTTTAGTATTTCCGTTGTAACTTCGAACGGTTGCTAAATGAACGGTTTTCAGTTGAGGACTATCTGTTTATAGCTTCTCCCGTCTGTACCCAAAATTACTTTGCTTGTTCTCCCTATATCACATATTACAGGAATAGATCAGAGCATGCTTATCCCTTCAGCCATTTGGATATTTCTAGGCAGGTCAAGAGCACGGCCTGTATTTACCAGCATGTTATTTCAAAGCCAGAGTTTTAAAATAGACCTGTGTTATTTATAGATATTAAGCCTACTCGGTCCCTCTGTCTACACTCCACCTCATGTCCTTTTAGACAACGTCAGAGAAGTTATTTATGTAGACATGAGTGGATGGGAAACCATTGGAGTCTTTTCATCCATCCACACACTTCTCCTTGCAAGTCTAGCCTTTTGGATCAAGTCAAAGGAGAATGTCACAAAACAAGGAAAGTAGATATTACATATCCCTCTCACCACACCCTAAGGCCTTGATTTTAGTTTTAGATGGACAGTCACACACAAGGCTTTCCATCTTTTTACCAAGCCAATCCCTGCCAGCCATGGGTAATGCAATAAAATAAAAATATGTGTGCACAACTTCATTAAGCACTTTATTTTCAAAATCTAAACAGAGTATTTGAGGAAGATAGATAGACAGATCATTGCACAGGCAGATAAATCTTATTTGTTATTGATCTATCTTGGGAAACCAAAAATCAGTAACACAAGAGACACAGATTTTGTTAGTGCAATATTATATTTTCCTACACATCAATTGTATT